GATTTTTCGGAACTTGGACCAACATTTTATGTATTTCCCTTGCAGGCTGAGCTTGGAAAGCCAAGTGCATCTCATCCTGATAAGGGGAAGGTTTCTATATATGTAGATTGCAGCCCGACGGCTGAGCCAACTTTTGAGGTTAGATAAGCTTTTGTTTAGTTATGCAAATGAATGTGTGATTTGTAGATAAATTTATTAGTTGAATTTACGTAAAATACTGGATTGACTGAGCAGGATGGCAAACTATGAATTGTTGTCAGTTTTTTAGGTAATTTTATTTGAAAACTTTTCTTTAGTTGAGAGGTGTTGACAACTATGGAAGTCGTGATTGGTCATTAAAATAAAAGAGAACCTTGAAGGATATGGGTAGTACATATGGTTTTGTCGCTGAGCTGAAGAACATGAACCACCTGATAGCTAGTTCTTAGTCTTGTTCGCTTTACTATCTGTATCACCTTACTGCTTTACTTAGATATAAAGTATGAACTCATACGTAAAAAATGAACAATCTCTGTTGACTTACTTGAATCTTGAAGTATGTTCCATTTTCCCAACAACATTTCGGTGCTCTACCAAATATCTCCTGCTTGTTTTCCATAATTCCATCAAATAAATGAATTCCAATTATCTAAATATTACCTTTGTTATCCATTTTTATTGTTATTTTTATTTCTTTTTGTCACAAGTTCCCTTGATACTTCAATCACAGGGCAGAGGGGGCGAGGAATTAGCTACTGAGCTCTCATCCGCACTTCAACAGTGTCTTTTGGGAGGTAAAAGTGGGGCAGGTATGAGTGCAAAACAACTCGATGCTTAGTTAAGTTGCACGTTACGTAATTATATTCCATAATGCCAAATATTTTTGCTGTATGTGATTTTTGCTTGCAGGAGCTGGGATTGATCTCTCATCTCTATCCATTGTTGAAGGAAAGATCTGTTGGGATCTGTATATAGATGGTCTCGTTGTCAGCTCAGATGGTAATATACTCGATGCCCTTGGAGCAGCCATCAAGGTATTGTGTTTTACTTCTTACGTTTGCATTTACCGAATTCAAGAGATTATCAATATATACTGTGTTTCCATTAAGTCTATTTTTTTTATTATTAATATTTTTATTGTTTCTTTTTCTAGGCAGCCCTAAGCAATACAGCTATTCCAAAAGTCCAAGTTGCTGCTAATGCCCCTTCTGATGAGCAGCCAGAGGTTGATGTGAGTGACGAGGAATTTCTACAATTTGACACATCTGGGGTTCCTGTTATAATTACTTTAACCAAGGCAAGACATTTTTCCCCAAAAAAATTCTTAATTATATATATATATATATATATTATTATTTTTTTGTCTGTAACTAATCAACTATTACAATTCTAATAATAACTAATCGCAGAACTTTCTTCTCTCCCATCGCTCGCTCCCAAAAATCAACCCAAAACCCTAGCCGGTAAGCTCGCCAATTGAAGCTCCCTCGCCGGAAATTCGCGGCCGACGGTGGACGGCCTCCATCGCTCGTCCATGGGAGGCACAATCCTCGTCTCAATTGCTGCAGCGGGGCTCTGTCTGAGCGTCGGATTTCGTCGGCCATCGGAGATATTTTCTCTGTTCAGGTTGCGCGCCGGAGTTCAGGGGCCGTCGGCGTTGATTGGGGTGCGGTGTGGGCTCATGGACGAGGCTGGGTTAACTGCACTTGGCTCTGGTTGGGTCGCCACCTATTCTTCCGGACTGCCTTTCTCGCCACCGATCAAGACCGCGCCTTTCCGCCGGCGAAGCGGCGTTTGGAGGTTTGGCCCTTCTTTTGCTGCTTTTGTCTCGGTTTTTTATTTGTCTATGATCGAAAGGACTTCTCGGTTCTTCCTGGGTGGTCGTGCTGTCGTAGGCACCCAAATTAACCTTGCTTAACAATATGTAGTAGCGTGAGCAAGGATCGTATCCACGGGGAATGATTTAATCAAATGACTTTAATTATGTGATTAAAATGGGGGAGAATTGGTTTTTAATCCTAATTATCTAATTAACAAGAAAATAAAGAAAGCAATAGTTAACAATTCTTGAACAAGAGATTCGCAAGCAACAAGATGAAGATGAAAAATATTACCAAAGTGCTCCGGTTGAACTGATTTCCACCCCGAATTATTCTACTGATCCTCGATGCAAATATTATCAACTCATAAATACGTAGATGCCGTTGAATGATGAATTCTGACTCCTAAATTGACTATGCAAAATAAATCCTCCTACACAACCCTTATTACCAGGCAATTCCCAACATCGTGTAAAATTATCCTAGCAATAGCACTAAGAAGTAGAGCCCGACAACACAAGCAACAAATAACTAATCCGTTAAATGCTAACTTGTATAACTATTTTGCCTAAGAATGATAACGCCTAAATCCGGTCAATCACCACACTTAGATGCTTCTTACGATAGATAAATTATCTAAATCTGACTCAATATCAATCAAGCAATAGATCATAAGCATAGAATAATAGGTGGCCAATCCATCAACTACACATAACAATCATAAAAATATGCACACGAAACATTGATGCGAAAAATATATGAATTGGAATAAAAACTAATTCGATCTCACAGTAGTAGGTCTGGGGTTTCGATCGTCTTCAACCAAGACAAAGATAAATTAGCCGCGCAGGGCTATCATAAAATAATCCAAAAGAAAAGAAAAAGAAAAATAATGAAGATGAGTAAAGAGAGAGCCGCTGATGTTGTGCTCCGTTCTGCGTTCTTTTCTCCCAGCTGCCCTCCTTCCTCCTCAATTAACCCATAATAAGGATTATATACGTCCTAGGTTTGTTTCATGCTGCTTTAAGTTCTCATGGGCCAAATCCGTTAGTTTCCTGGCCCAATGAATAATCTGTTCTGAATAACACCAACATGGCCATGTTGCAATTCAATGTAAAACTGACACTGCCATGTTAGTTCCAGTGGCTGGTACTTTAAAGCTACTGGTCACAGTGCACAAAAGTCGTCAATCTGCACAAAAAATCAAAAACCGGTAGTTTCCACTCGAAAATACAAGATAATGTCAAACATATGTCAACTGAACTCAAATATCTAATATAAATCCTAAATTAATTCACTAAACCGACACATATTTTTGACTTATCAAACATCCCCAAGCTTAAACCGATGCTTGTCCTCAAGTATCAAATCAAATCCATCATCTCACCTCATAGTCATCATCTATCTTCTAATGCCAACTCAAAAATATTTTGCATGCAATGAACAAAAGTTAAAGCCAAGTCCTCATCAACCGACACCAATAAAAATAAACTCAACAATCACATAACTAAAACACATGAAATCAACACTTCTCACGAGATTCACTCTTGCACTCAAAAGTGTATAGGCTATATGTAAATGTACGCTCAAGTCAAGACATCGAAGATTTTTACCATAAGCTTGCAGAGATATCATGTCCAACCACCCAAAATGAATAAGAATTAAACACAAAATCAAAGGGTTAAATCAGGTTGTAATGAGGCTTAGGGTAAGGTGGGATAAGAAAGATAAAGGCTAACGGAATCGAACCAATCACACAAACTCATCATAAACCAAGCTCAATGCAAGATGATCATGCGATTCTCAATAATCGGCCAACATAGAAAGAAAAAAAAATATAAAAATAAAAATAAAATCTGTACAGAATGCCTGCCTCTTTTTTTCATTTTCTTTTTTTTCTACTTTTTTTTTTCTTTTCAGTTTTTTTTTTCCAGCTTCTTGTCCAGCTGTTTATTTTTTTTTTTTTTTTTTTAATACGAAATAGAAGATAAACTAGCCTACATCGGATAACGAGACTACGTACAAGGCACGATCACATCTAAGTACATAATACCATGAGCTCTTCTTTATCCAAAAGAAATTCATATAATTGATTCAATCCAAGGTTCAAAAGATGGCATCAAGAAAAGGATATTATAGCTTATAGTGTGGTTATAAATCAAAGAAATGTCTAAGGCTCAAAGGGGCTTACTAGTGATTTATGAAAAAGGGTGGGCTTCAAAAGAGAGGCTATAAAGAGAAATGGCAAGTCCTAAGTACCCTTATTAAGATTTTATGCATTCAATTTCATCAAAGGTGTACACATAGACATGCATAGCAAGGCAAGTTCTAGAAAACCAACTAGTCGAGACATCACACATTCAAGAAAATGGAGCAAGATATTTAATATATGCTCATAAGCTCAAATCTCACCAATAAGAAGGTAATAGCTAAGTGTTAATCCCATGCGTCTCCATCACAGAATCATCAAGTAATATTCATCATCATGTAGCATCAAGGGCTCAAACAAAACAAGTGTATGGACACAAGAAAATGATTGTTCTACTGAATTGGCATAGATTTAAAAATGACCACAAGAGAAATAACAATCAAGACTCAACACCATTAAACAAACCTCAGAACTCAAAACTCTGACAAACACTATTAACCACACGTCAAATAATATGAAGTAATGCTAGGTATAGAGACTCACAAAATTTTATTCAGGTGGCAGCTCTCATTATGCATGGATAATCTCAAAAATCTGTCAGACCTCCCAGTAAAGCTCTCACGATTCCAAGTTGCTGTGGAAAAAGTTCCAGGTCTCTAATGACATGGCCATGTCATTTAAATACCAACACCACCAGTCCCAATGTTGGAACAAAATTCCTGCCATAGAACAGAAAGAAAAGTATCAGCAACAGAAACGAATTATCTTAAGGCGTGGGCATGGCTTAGAAAAACTATCATTTAACATGTACGTGGTTCGTCCATGCCTTAAAAAAAAATCGTTTTCACCTTGAAATCACCCCAAATTCTTAACAAACTAGAGAAATAACAAAATAAAGACTAACAAAATAAAAAATAAAAAAATAATAAATAAAAATAAAAATTGGGTTGCCTCCCAAAAAGCGCCTTTTTTTATCGTCGTTAGCTCGACATGAAGCTCTCGATTTAATCAGAATAAACGGGGTCCTCGAGACCCATTCTTTCTTCATGCTCGGGTTGAAAGTTCTTGTGATATGGCTTAAGTCGGTGTCCTTTGACTATGAAACATTTCAAGCTCGACGGACTCCGAATCTCAATTGCCTCATGCGTACAGACCTTGTTGACTTCAAAAGGTCCTTTCCATCTCGTTCGTAGCTTTCCTAGAAACAGCCGAAGACGGGGTTGGTATAAGAGAACTTTTTTCCCTACCACGAATTGCTTTCTCGAAATCAACTTATCATGAAAAGTCTTCGTCTTCTCTTTGTAGATCTCGGCACTCTCATAGGCATCGTTTCTCATCTCTTCCGATTCTTGAATTTGTAGTTTCCTATGCTCACCTCTTGCACTCATGCCCAGAAGCTTCAGGACCTCAGCTTTCATGACTTCCAACACCACTGGATTCAAGCGGTGTTGGGGTTGATGAACAGGTTCAACTTCTATTTCCCATAAAATGTGATGCGTGCAAATTGAGGGGCTTATTCCCTTTATGTCCGAGATAATCCACTCCAATGCTTGCTTGTGTGACTGGAGAACTTTCATGAGCTCGTCTTCTTGAGTTTTGGTAAGCTTACTCGAAATGATCACTGGAAATGTGCTCTCTTCTCCTAGGAATATGTACTTGACGTGGTCGGGCAAGGGCTTCAGTTCTTTGACGAGTGTCTGCAAAATAGAGGGAGGGGATTTTTCGTTAGTATCAAAGGAACTAATACCAATAAACTCACCTTTACCATTGGTCTCTAAGCCATCATCCATGATCACGGTCTTGTCCGATTCATTGGCTTGAACTGGAATAATGCTAGATAATGAGTTGTCTGCTAAAGTCCTGATGGTGTCACCCACGGTATTATCCTCTGAAAGTGAAAAAATTTCCTGAGCCAAATCATCAACCAAGTCAACAGATAGTACGGATTCTTCATCGCCAGAATACTTCACAGAATTATATATATCAAATTTAATTAATTGATCATCAGATTCCATGCTAAGAATTCCATTATGCACATCAATCATGGTCTTAGACGTTTTTAGAAAAGGTCTTCCAAGTAAAATAGGAGTAACAACATTGTTATTCTCCATATCGAGAACATAAAAATCCGCTGGAAAAACCAAGTCTTTAACTTGCACAAGAACGTCCTCGACCAAACCCTTCGGAAACGCATTGGACCTGTCCGCCAATTGAATGACTACCCCAGTTGGACTTAAAGGTCCGAGCTTCAAAGAACTATAAATTGCATATGGCATTACGTTAATAGAAGCTCCCAAGTCTAACATAGCTCTTTCTAAATGCATTCCACCAATGACACAAGGAATTGAGAACATACCTGGATCCTTGCATTTCGTGGGAAGTTTCCGTTGTAAAACAGCAGAGACATTCTCACTTACCTTAACTTTCTCGTGGCGTTTGAGTTGCTGTTTTCGCTTAACGGTGCACAACTCCTTCAAAAATTTTGCATAGCGAGGCACTTGCTTGATGGCATCTAGCAACGGGATGTTCACCTCGCATCTTCGAAACGTCTCATAAATATCTCGGATAGGCCCGTCTTTCTCATGTCGAACCCATGCCTGTGGGAAGGGTGGTTCAGGTTTGTACTCGGAATACGTCGGCTTCTTCTTTGCCTTATCGCTTTCTCCTTCAGCTCCCAGGTCAGTTTTTGTCCTCAGTTTAGTTTTCATCTCCAGTTCAGTTTCACTATGAACATGGTCAGCGACATGGCCATGTTGGTTATCCGAACCTGCTGCTTCCAACTGCTGTGCGTGTGAATTTTCCTTTATCTGCTCCAACTCTTGGCCACTTATTAAAATCATGGAACTCACATTCTTAGGGTTTACCTCAGGTTGAGAAGGGAGTTTTCCACTAACTTGTGCCTCCAACCGATTCACAGAGGTCGCGAGCTGGCTTACTTG